TCTATAGGATGTACGCTGTCAATTAAAGAATAATTAAACATTTACCCGGCCGCGTAGACGATTTCAAACGCGATCATCACTGGAATGCAACTCAGATGTAACAGCAGTCCTCCAGTTTCGGACTGGACTGGCTCTTGTAATGATAAAGGAGAAGCCTGGCACTAACTGAAACCGTACAGGGAAGTGACTATTTTACCAGCGTCTTTAGCGTTTGATCGGATATATGAGTCACTTGAGGTGAATTTAAGTCCCAATAAGCGTTCAGGGGAAGGTGACTAATGGAAAGAACATCAGGTCACTTGTTATTTTACAATTTTAAAATTTTCTATTTTCAGCATAAGGGGGCAGACCGGAAATTTGTAGAAATGTAAAATGGCATTAAATGTTATATGCATTTTAATACATTGTTGGTATATTCATAATGATTCTGTTGAATATAGGTTGGTTGATTTTCATATTGAGGACTTGGAGAATCTGAACATCTAAAAACATTCCTATCCACCTTCACAAGACAAGAAAATATTTATTGACATCACCAATATACTACACCATGAAAATAATAAACAAAAACTTCAAATTCTAAAATAACGATACCAGAGTGCGTTCAGGCGTATTCTTACTAATTACCATTACAACGGAATGCACTTTTTTTGTCGCAGTTACAATAAGTTCGTCTTAGTAATTTATCACTGAAGATGATCTTAGAAAAGGTCGAAACTACTTGCGTTAAAAAAAAAAATACTACGGAGTCATCCTTGTTGAATGTCATCCTAACATCAAGAAACTGATTGTGAAACTGGAAAGGAACAGCATAAAGATAAGTATACACAATATGTCTATATTATTCAATGAAACATGATTGAATGAAGATATACATATATATATATATATATATATATATATATATATATATATATATATATATATATATATATATGTATATGTATGTATATATATATATATATATATATATATATATATAGATATAGATATAGATATAGATATAGATATATATATATATATATATATATATATATATATATATATATATATACATATATATATATGTATATATAAACATAAAAAATGTCTTAAAAAATAATTTTCGGACTTTGTCCATTCTATAATCTCTGGCATATATATATATATATATATATATATATATATATATATATATATATATATATATATATGTATGTATGATAAAAAATATAGTTTTAGTTATGCTATATCCCATGCAAGATACTAAAGACACAAGTTGATGTGGAAACACAAGAAAAAAAGTGAAACATTAGGGAGAGAGAAGAATAGAAGAGTAATTAAGACGGCGGATAACAACTGTCATTGGATTTCAATTTTGGAAGATCAAAATAAGCTGGAAAGCATAGAACCGGAAGAGAGTTCCACGAGCAAGAAGTACGAGAAAAGAAACTGTTGGCATAGAACTTACGGATACGTCCAGCCAATGCAACCGTAAATTGAGGAGATCATGACGCCAATAATTGCTCAATATAAGTAATATATCATATGCAAATATAGAAGTGGGCACTGAGGTCAACATCTAGCGGCTGAAGTCATGTTTCAGTTCAGTCATCAGGTTTGAAGATTGGGCTCACGCATGAAGTTACCTGGCGGTGTTCATGACAATGTTCACTTACACACACACACACACACAAACACACACATAAGTTACTCCAAAATTCGCTTGATGATGAAATGGAACTAATGTCTTTAATTTAATAACAAAATTCAATTCGAAGATTTTAGCTTCCATTTTTGAAACATGGTTAGGACTGTGTAGCGAAAAACATATTTTAAATCAATTAATTTATAATATTAATGCTCTGTAAATTTACATCAGCACTATTTTGTAAAAATAAAAACATCTATAAGAACACCAGATTATATATCTTACTGTTCTTTCTTTATTTTATATATATATATATATATATATATATATATATATATATATAAACATACCGTGTGTTGACCCAAGCATTGTGAGTGAAATTGGGTAGACGGAACCCTTGTGGACCGTCGAATAGTTGGAGATTATAGCTATCAGGGAACCCGGAAGAGGGGAGGGAGTTTCACAGGCGAGAGGTGCGAGACGCTATTGGAGTAGAAGAGACGGCTACATTTAACAGTTTTGACGGTGAAATGGTGTGAGCGAGATGCCAGCCTAGTAGAACGCTTAAATTCATGAAGTCTGGGAACCAGCGAAAGCAGCTCCTCGGAGTAGTTACCATGAAAGTATTTGTAAAAAAGACAGAGGGAAGCGACGGCACGTCTGTGAGAGAGCGACTGCAGACGAGAGGCCAGATCAGGGCCAATTATATTGCATATCCGCCTCTGGAGCCTATCAAGAACCCCGAGGCGAACGGAAGGGGCACCAGACCATATATGGCAGCAATACTCCATGCAAGGGCGAATGGTTGATTTGTAGTTTTGAAGGATCGACTCCGGCAAGAAAAATTTCCTGGCGCTGCACAGGGAGCCGACTTTCCTTGCGGTGGACGTATTTGTTCCATCTCAGGTCAGCAGTCAATGTGAGGCCGAGTAGTCGCAAAGAAAAGCCCTCGAGAAGTTGAGGGTCAGACATTCTAATGGGGGGCAGGGATGGTTCTCTGTGGCGTCAGTCGGAGTTTTTACACCTAAGCCGTTGGCGTACGACAGGGAAGAAGGTGAATTTAAGCGTATGTTGTGACCGCTTCATCCACTTTTCCTCTATTGTTCCCTCGTTTTTAATCTTATTCAGCGTTCTCTTGATGAGTCTTGAATAGACTTTGAAAATGGAAACCAGGATATGAATGTTGGTACCATTACTGAAGGCCTGAATGATCTTTTTTCTCTCACCATTGCTTAGCTGGGAAGACATAGTGGGGTTGACGCAAAATGATTTTACCCTGTTCTCTTTCTAGCTGAATAACCCAAAGGGTTTTTCGGTGATTCTTAGGACAAATGGTGTCAAGATGGCTAAAACATCTTATCTGAAATCCTATTAAAAACGAAACTCAATTAGTTTAGTGGTTTTATCGATATTAAACATTTTGTAAGATGGACAATTATGCTGTTACACGATTTGAACAATTTTGTTTTGTTGTTATACGCGGTATGTGTATGTCTGTGAGTCAGTGCCTGTGTGTCTGTGTGTGGCTGTGTGCTCGGGCATGCGCTTCTGTGTGTGTACATGGGCGTGTATACCTTTAACCCTATAAACATATATATATATATATATATATATATATATATATATATATATATATATATATATATATATATATATATGCCTGAAGAAACAGTGCACTTAATATTGATACAATTAATCTATTATCACTTTTCCACAAGGAAAAAACAGAAAATTATCTACATTTTTCGTAAATATTTATTTCAAACTGATGAATATTTACAAGCTCATTTGACGGCTTCAACAAACCCGTAATCTCATTTGAGAAAAGTTTACAGACATTTGTATCTCCTTACCTTAATCGAAATCAAAATCTATTTTCAAAACGATTAAGTTATTTTATGACTTTTCGCAAATTAAGCTTTTAACTTTTCATACAATTCCTTTTAAAGGTGTTATAAAATTAATTTAAAATTTTTTTTATCTAATTATTTCCATATGAGACGAAATCAGTTTTGATTCATAGCATCGGAGAAATCCTCAACGAGGCTTTTAAGAGTTACAAAGGATGAGGCATTGTAGAGAGCCATGAAGCGTACATATAACTATATAAAAAGAATTAATCAGTTGCTTTTGCCGGCATTGTCGTCCTTTCAAACAACCAAATGGCGTGTTTCTTTCTTACACAGTTTTGATTCTTTGAATTTAATGAACACAAAAGAATCTTTCGTTGATGCAAATGTTTTGACGCACACATCAGGGAATGACAGATTCGATTTAGCTATTATAAATCACCAGCAATTTTTGCGCTGTTTTATAAACACGCTCTTTTTCAATCATTTCAACTCATCGATGGCGATAACACTACAATGATGCAAGAGGTTATTAGGAATGAAAGAGAATGGGAAATGAGGAGAAAGGATAATAAATGAATAGACTTCAGCAAAACAGAAGATGACGATTGACGTGACATTTACATCTTTGAGGATTGTAGATGACAGCGAATCAAGAAATCAGAAGGGAGTTCCATAAGCAAGAAGTCCAAAGGAAGAAACTATCAGAATAGAACTTACGGTTATATCTTGCAATTTCAACATTAAAATGATAAGACTTAGTAGCCAATTACATTATTTATTTCATAAATATATATATATATGCATATATATATATATATATATATATATATATATATATATATATATATATATATATATATATATATATATATATATATATATATATATATAATGAAATGGACAGAGTCCGACAATTATTTTAAGACATTTTATGTTTATACATTCTTTTTATAGATACAAATATTTAAGTAAATGCTCTGTTTATAATAAACAGTGTGAGACATCGTCAGATCTACTCTGTCAAGGCACTCTACGCATGAATGAATAACTATCAAGAGATGTGGTAAGTGCCGGTCAGATGCTCAACTGTGAGGCAAAGCCAGGACCACACCCGGTCTCGAGTAATGATGGCGATGAATATCTTAAATCTACTACACCTCAGGGGTATTAAGTGGGTGACTATTTATGAAAAGGAAGAGAATAAAAACAATGTCCATGTTTATAAAAGGAATGAAAAGTGATGACGAATTTGAAAAAAACAATAAAAGAATCAAATCTGTTATTTTGGTCAAAGATGAAAAATGATGGCCAATTTGATAACCTTTAATAAAAATGAATACTAATAATATAAAGTGATGACTAACTGTAAGAAGAAAAGGAATATGGGAATATAAGAAGTAAAAAAAGTGATGTCTAATATCAGGATGAAGGAAAAATCATATGAATATAAAATGAAGTATAATATCAGAGATGCTTAATATAAAAAGAAGAACAATTAGAAAATTGATGCCTAATGGTTAAAAATAGAAAGGAAATTGATGCCTTGCTGGGAAAATAATAGAAATTATAAAGTGATGGCTATTCGAGAAAAGAATAGAAAGAAAAGTGATGTTTAATTGTAAAAGAATATAAAGAAAAAAAGTGGTGCTTATTTGGGAAAAAAAAAGAAAGAGAAAATGATACCTATTTCGGAAGAGAATAGGGCGAAAAAAATGATGCCTAATTGAGAAAAGAATAGAAAGAAACAAGTGATGCTGAGTTGCAAAATGAGTAGAAAGAAGAAAATTGATGCCTAATTGAGAAAAGACTAAAAAAACTGATGCTTAGTTGTAAAAATAATATTAAAAAAAGTAATATCTACTTCGGAAAAAAAAGAAAGAAGAAAAGTGATGCCTAGTTGTGAAAAGAATAGAATGAATGGTGATGCGTATAAAAAGTGAAGAAAAACAATTAAACTGATACCTAATATAAAATAAAAATAAATAAATTCCTAAGAAAGGAAAGTACTTCCTAAACTACAATGAAGATGCCTGTTTTTAATAAAAAAAATGAAAGGGAAAAAACACCGAACTATAAAAAGGTGAAAAGTTAGAAAAAGTAATCAGTTGCTTACTTGTAAGATAAAGAATAGTAAATAAGAAGAAAACTAACGCTTATTCGTAATAAGGAAGAAAAAGTTTGATGTCGATTTGTCGGGGAAAATTCCAGCTGATCGCAACAAGCATTTTATATCTTGACCACTTCAAAGATGACTGGTCACTTTTGTCAATCCTTTCACCAAGTGTCCAATATAGTTGTATACACCTAAATAAGCAAGATAAGATGAATATCTTAAATCTACTCCACCTCAGGGGTATTAAGTGGGTGACTATTTATGAAAAGGAAGAGAATAAAAACAATGTCCATGTTTATAAAAGGAATGAAAAGTGATGACGAATTTGAAAAAAACAATAAAAGAATCAAATCTGTTATTTTGGCCGAAGATGAAAAATGATGGCTAATTAAGAAAAAAAAAAAAGATAAACCGATAACCTTTAGTAAAAATGAATAATAATATAAAATGATGACTAACTGCAAGAACAAGTCCGAGAATTATTTTAAGACATTTTTATATTGATACAGTCTTTTTATAGATACAAATATTTAAGTAAATGCTCTGTTTATAATAAACAGTATTAAACAACATTTACCGGTCTGCATGTCCGAGAAATTTTCACAGAAGATATTTGTCCTCCGACAGGAATCGAACCTGTATCCGATACGGAACCGTCATATAGCCTGACGTGCCTTTAACCGATTGGGCCACAGAGGAGCGTTCGGTTAGCAAGGTCGATTTTCCTGCCTTTAAACTACAATCTTCCATGATTCTCTAACGTACATTTACATCTGCTCATGGCGTATCCAAATGTAACCAAAATGTCTTTTTATATATATATATATATATATATATATATATATATATATATATATAGTTGTATGGATATGTGTTTGTGACCCTGGGTTTCACGCCTTTACGATCATCAGACATCAACAGTTGGTTTGATGATCGCAAAAGCATGAAACACAAGGTCACAAACTCATATCCATACAACTGAATATGTTAACCCTATCACAGCGCTTTCCAGTAAGTACTGCGCAAACAATATATATATATATATATATATATATATATATATATATATATATATATATATATATATATAAAGAAAAGAACAGTAAGATATATAATCCGGTGTTCTTACCATGTTCAAAAAATCGAAGCTAAAAACTTCAAATTTAATTTTTGAATATGAATTTCATGTGCGTAAATTTAAAAATAAGTTATTCCAAAATTCGCTTGAAGATGAAACAGAACTAATGCTTTTAATTTAATTATATCATTAAATTTGAAGTTCTCAGCTTCGGTTTTTCGGTTTAGCGAAGAAACCATATTTTGAATCAGTAAATTTATAATATATATATATATATATATATATATACATAAATGCCTAGAATGGTAGCTCCCCGACTATAAGATTCGTTGTGGATTCTTGCCATAGTCGATTTATAAAAGAAGTCACTTGTTAATACCGACCTGGAGAGCAGATTCTATTAGGAAGTTATTAAAATTATGCCACGATTTAATCCAAGCTTTGTAAATGAATATAGTTAGACGAAACTATTAAGATGCTGTTTATGGTTGTGCTAGCAGGAAATTACAAGTCATCCTGACCGAGAGGTTTAATGTAATGGTCTTGTTCAAATAGGTCATCAGGCTAGATTATACACTCTTACCAACAAGCTGTAAGGAAGGTCCACTCAGCATAGTTGCAGTATAAACCAGAGTTGGGACCTGCGGATCGTGAATACGGCACATATCTCATATGAGAGTTCGAAACGTCAATCCCTGCGTTGTTTTTGCACTTCACAATTTAACGATACAATCAAATTGCATGCATTTCCATCTAAGATTATTTGTTCAAATGCAAAAATGGCTCCTGCTTTTTAAAAGAACAATCACAGGAAATGAAAAATGGATTATTTACAACAATTTTGAGTGAATTAACCTGATAGTAATGTATGCTACATTCAAATTAACACACTGTACTCCCTAAAATAGTTCTTACCAACTCATGTCCTCACACATTAACGAAAATATTACATTGCTAGTTTTCGTTCTTAAGATTATTATATACGGACGGTATATGCCATTCATGGAAAATAAATTAAATCATTTGCATTAGGTAGTTTTCTTAATATCAAAGTCATCGTATGATCCATAGTTTGCAACCGTCCCTTCATTTCCATCCAATCAAAGTGTTGCGGTCCTAAGAGAGTGGATGCGACGTCACAGATAATTAAAACTATTGCAACGAGCGCCCTCTGTAGGACATTGCATTTCTCCATGATTACTTGTACACTCAGCAATGTGAATACCAAAGATGGCCGCTTAACTGGCTTCTTCCTCTACTGATACCAACTTTAGTGTCATCCTTTAATGATGTGTGTTGTTGGCAAGAAACAGTTAACAACGAATCTGCGTTAGCTTTGCGACCAATACTGCCGAAAGTGATTGTCCGCCATGTTGGATTCTTTTCTTATTTCCCAGGAACGTGCTTGCCTTTTTCCTTCCTTTATTTGTTCGTTTTGACTTTCTTTCCTAATTCAAATTTTACTTTTTTTTTTTTGACTGTCTTGTATTTCTTTAAAATTTTTTCTACATTTTTGATTACTTATCGTCTGTTTTCCCCTCGTTTATTTCTTCTGCCATATTTTTTTCTTTCGTGTTCGTTTTTGTTAATTCGTTTTTATACGATTAATCCTTATCTTGGCTTCATTGTCACTTTATTTATTTCTTTTTCTTCGGTTTACTTTTGATTAACATTCTTCCTACCATTTCTTTCTCCTTTTTTCCTCTCTACGCCTTTTTGTTCTTTTCTCTTTCTATCGCTTTTTATTTCTCTTTTTTCTCCAACGTCTTTATTTCTTTCTCTCTTCGTTTATATATTTATTATTGTTTGTTTCCTTTGTCATTCTTTTATTACCATTTTATATTCTTCATTTTTTTCTTTTTCTTGCATCCTTCTTCTTTTACGCTCACAAAAAATTGTAGTTGCATTTTTTTCAGTACTTTTTCTTTCCTCCATTTCTTTCATGTTTATTCTTTCCACTCTTTTCTTTTAACGCTTCTCTTTTTTATTCCCTTTAATATTATTTCATTTGTAATTTTTATTTCATTTAATATTTCTTCAATTTTGTTTTAAACTTTCATTCAGTTTTCTTCTCGTTTTTTTTTTTTTCATCTTTTAGTTTTTTGTTTTTACTTTGTGGTTAGTGAAGCTTCCCTATTTTCTCAATCCTCTTCTCCAAGATTGCATTTAATTCAAGCCTCGTTTTCATCTTTATCGCTGCAAAATAGATACAAATGTATTTGTACACAACTTCCTGTTCTCTGCATTCAGTTTTAGCTTTTATTGTTTTATATTTGTTCTTGACTCAATTTCACCACTTTTCTTCTTCGGCCATCAGTAATTGCCATTTTCTACTTCCTTCAATTTATAGAATTGTCTTCAAACTACACAGTCTTCCTTCCGTGTTCCAGTTCTGACTTGTTTTCTGAACCTTTATTTTATTTTATTATGTTTTTATATTTTATAAATTTGTCCTTTAAGTTTTCTGGAACCATCCTTCCCTTGACATGACTATTTTTTTTTCATTCACGATTATTTCATTAAGTTTTTCTCACCTTTTCCATAATATGCATTCATCTTTTATTTCATTTGCTACACTGTGACCGTACTTTTTTTTCTCGTTCCTTCAGGCCACATTACATTTACCAGCGACCAATGGCCATTTTGATTATAGCGTTTCTTCGTCAATTTTTTTATATTTTTATTTACTGGTCTTGCGAGTTGGGAGGATACAAAACGAGACTTTTCCTTTGTAGCAATGAAGTTACATGGCGTCCAACATCGATATAGACACACAGAAACACGAGAGCACAAGAATTTAATGAGGCAGGTATACACACATACATGCATACTAAAATGTACATGCACAAAGAGATATTAACATATATTCTTATATATACTCATATTTGCACACTAGCAACTATATACACACATACGTACACATATAAAAACGTATACAAGGGTACACAAATAAACGCACACATATGCACATACACAAAATGAAACATAAATGCGCATGTAAACGTAGAATTAAATATATAAATAGATGTGTGGAAGTAAATTACAATTTGAAATATATATAATGCATTTGTGCCGATTCAAATGTAATATTTATCAATATATCCATCTCTCTCTCTCTCTCTCTATATATATATATATATATATATATATATATATTTATCTTATGCACATACAAAAGTATCTACGGCTCTACTTTGTGCATTGAGCAATGTTTTAAAATTAATGATCTGAACGCTGTAATCTTACTGTTCATTCTTGTACACTTTGATATATATATATACATATATATCAATATATATATATATATATATATATATATATGTGTGTGTGTGTGTGTGTGTGTGTGTGTGTGTGTGTAAAGAGTTCAAACTGGACCTGACGATATCCACGGGCTTGAGACTCAGAGTTATATATTATTATTATTAAATTTATAATTTATTATCACCGTCACACATTTTGTCTTTTATCCCCAACATCAGTATATATTATTATAATATAGTTTTAGTTATGCTAGTTTTTAAATCATTCCATCCCATACAAGTTAGTAAAGCCAGTAAGACACAAGTTGTTTACTGAGTGTGAAAGAAGAAGAAAAAAAAACCCAATGGAAATCATTAGGGAGAGAGAAGAATAGAAGAGTAATTAAGACGGCGGATAACAACTGTCATTGGATTTCAATTTTGGAAGATCAAAATAAGCTGGAAAGCATAGAACCGGAAGAGAGTTCCACGAGCAAGAAGTACGAGAAAAGAAACTGTTGGCATAGAACTT